GTATATTTCAGTTCTATGCATTTCTTATCCCTGTTGAGATGAACATTAACATGAGCATATTTTCTGCTTTAATCATATTCCTACTCTTAAAACTTTATTGACCTTTTGAGTTGTACCCTAGATTGACCCAACTATAGGATTGGGCTGAGGATTGCAATCATGGACAGGCTTAGTGCTTCAGCACGTCTCATGATAGTTTCAGATCTTGATCATACGATGGTTAGCTCTCTAATATTTTGTTTATTATTGAATAACACTATTCCTCCTGGCAGCACTCTCATTTGTTAAATTCTCCCATTGAAGGTTGATCATCACGATTCTGAGAATCTTTCTCTGTTGAGGTTTAATGCATTATGGGAAGCCAACTACCGTCACGATTCTCTGCTTGTTTTCTCAACTGGTAGATCCCTTACACTGTACAAAGAGCTAAGAAAAGAGAAACCTATGTTAACTCCTGACATAACCATAATGTCTGTGGGAACCGAGATAACATATGGTCTTGAAATGGTACCGGATGAGGGTTGGGTTGAAGTTTTAAATCATAAGTGGAATAGGAGCATAGTCATTGAGGAAGCCAGCAAATTTTCTGAACTTACTCCACAGGTACTGCTTAGTTGTAGTAGCATTTGAAAATATTTTAAACATTGTTGGCTGGAAAAGATTACCAATTTGATCGTTGGACTTTGAAATCAATGATTTGTGCACGAAGTTATAAGTCATGTAAAAAATTGAACATTATGGGTTTCCGTAGGCAGAGACAGAACAACGACCACACAAGGCTAGCTTCTATATTCAAAAAGACAAGGCTCAGGCTGTTACCAAGGCTCTCTCTGAGTCTCTAGAGAAACGTGGGGTAAGGTTTTCTGCACAACTTTTTATTCATTGACTAACATGCGAAACCATGCCTTGCCTATCATTTAATTTTAACCATGAAGCCTTTTTTCTTTTTTCTTTTTTTTTTCTTTTTGCGCTTCTTATACCAGTTGGATGTAAAAATAATCTACAGTGGAGGGATAGATCTAGATATATTACCACGAGGTGCTGGAAAAGGTCAAGCTCTTGCTTACCTGCACAAAAAGTTCAAGACTGCTGGAAAACTACCAACTAGCACTCTTGTTTGTGGTGACTCGGGAAATGATGCCGAGCTATTTAGCATTCCTGATGTATTCGGTGTCATGGTAGTTCATCTGCATTACAATTTGTTGTCATCACAGGTAATTCTATTTCCAAATTCTACCTATGAAATATTTTGCATTATGTAGGTCAGCAATGCCCAAGAGGAATTGTTGCAATGGCATGCTGAAAATGCCAAGGACAACAGCAAGATTATTCATGCTACAGAGAGGTGTGCAGCTGGCATCATACAAGCTATTGGTCATTTTAACCTTGGTCCAAGTACTTCTCTTAGAGATGTCAAAGACTTCTTGGATTCTAAGGTGGAAACTAAAAGTATCGGTCATGAAATTGTGAAGTTTTACTTATTTTACGAGAAATGGAGGTGTGCAGAAGTTGAGGAGTCTTGCGCGTATCTGGATCGCTTGAAAGCAGCCTTTGTATGTCTATCCCTTTCATCTTTACTTTCTCATTTTGTGACCATAATTTGCATATATATATTCAGAAGTGATACATATTGTTGTGGGGTGGAAACATTATGTTTCTAAAAAGTTGGAAACTACAAACAAGAAATAGAAACGTTACCAAATAGCCCCGTAATTTCTAGTTGTCACGTTTTCTGGATCACATATTGATTTTTTTTTTTTTTTTGTCAACAGCAACATCTTTGCACATGCCAGTGGAGTGGAGTTTTTATTGAGTATCTTAATGTTATCTACTGTTTAACATGTCTTTCTAGAACTCATAATGCAGGATAACTTCGTCCAGTTTTTTTAAACCTGAATTGTGTAAAATTCTGCTTAGTTCTGAACTCTCTCTTGATTAATTTTTGTCTTTTTTTTTCCTTTTTCAGAATTCATCTGGTGTTTTTGTTCATCCTTCTGGTCTCGAGCTCTCTCTTTCAGACAGATTGAGTTCAATACGGAAGCATTATGGAGATTCTCAAGGAAAACAGTATCGAGTTTGGGTTGATCGAGTTTTGCCTACGAAGATCAGTTCAGACTCGTGGCTTGTGAAGTTCGACAAGTGGGAATTATCTGGTTCGACTGCTTTCCTTTCGATTTCTCTAATACCTTTTGTCTTCCAAAAAAATTCCTTTGCATCAACCAAGTCATGGATTTGAACTTGACTAATGATAAAGCATCATTCCTCATGACCTCAAAAGCAGTTATAACCATTGGCTTTTCTAAACTAGCTTATACATAAATCGATTAATCCCATGAAAGATTAATCCCATGAAACAACCGTCCAACCATATATCAAAAAACTCTAGTATATTGAATATTTGGAATCCATGATATAAACAGTGAAAATGTCGAGATTACTGTTCAATGATCAAGTATATCATTCATAGACCTGTACATTTGTGTTTCTTATGCTTTCTGATTCATTTATGTTGGCCTACTTTACGACGTTCTGTAGGCGAGAAGCGACTATGCTGTCGAACAACAGCCATACTAAGTTCAAAGGTAAGAGATGTTAGATTGCTGCTGAAAAAGCTAATCTTGCTTCTTTTTTCTTTTTTTCACTGAGATTTTGAGCTTTTGGGATTCAGGATTCAAATACTGCCAATGAGTCCATTTGGTTGCATATTCATCAAACTTGGCTGGAGGGGTCAGGATCAGAGTTTAGTTCAACCTGGCTCTTTTAGTTCCTTTTTGTTTTTTCTCATTTTCTTTTTTCAACCAAATTTTTATTTGGTCACAGATAACTCCAGAACTAAGGAGAACTCAAGTTTCTATCAAAATAAATGTAATGTGATGCTTTGACATCTTTATTGATAGATTTTGATACAATGATTATTGTTGTTATCTTTAGTTCATTTAGGAATTGTTGGAGTTGAAGCGATGTTTCTACTCGACTAACTTTAACCGTAGGGTTAAACAAAGCTCGAGTTTGCAGTTTCTATCTCGACAAAGACGATGATTTTATGGATTTAACTAAACGGGTGTATAATTCCGTTCATTTTTCTTATGTAGAAAACGGATGGGTTATAGAGCTTTCTCTTCTACTTAGAAGGGGGACAAAACGTCTATGTTAAACATGTTACCGTATACACTTAGATAAGTTGATAGAGAAAACTAAGGTCTCGGACGTTTTTATACAATCTTAGATAAGTTGTCACTTAGATGACTAGTTGTGACAATCAAATTTAAAGAAATTCTAAAACTCAATACGATTTTAAAGACCAAAATAAGTTAGGAGATTGAATTATGATTAAAATTAAAGTATCAATAGGTCGGTAAAGAAATGTTTTTCTCCTTATTTTCTTTTTCTTGTTTCTCATGTTTTGTCTTTTTGTTTCTAATTTAGTGTTGGATAACTCTTGCTACTGTTAAAAAAACGATCCCAGAAAAAAAAAACGAACAATAGGTTCGCGTTTTCAAATTTTCAAGCACATAAATATTAATAATATTAATGTTGTTATCATTACTATTACTGGATTTTTAGTACAACAAGTGGGTGGGAATTCAAACTCACTCCATTTTGATAGGAGATAAGGATTTTGATCTATGCTCAAATTGACATATATATTTCACTTTAGTGTGTATCTATATATATATAGCATCAATTTTCTAATATTATGCTTTTAAATTAACTTTTATGTAACCTTTTTATTTTCTAATTTAATGTTTCAGAGAACAAAATAAAACAATAAATGATTACAATAAACATTTATGTTTAGTTTTTTAATAACAAAGTAATAATAATAAAAAAAATTAATAGTTACAAAATGCAATTTTGTTTTTTACTTAAAAGAAAAATAACAACATCATGAACCGAGTCTTAAATTTGCAATTACAATGAAAATTAGGTGATATTTGTTCAAGGGTGTATTAATCTTTTCCATTATCAAAATTATTCCTTCACATGAAATACAATAAAGAATACATCACATGTATGAAGAAAATGACAACAAATTCATCCTTACATGGTATTTTCGAGTATAGTTTAATAGATAAGATATTCATTCAGTTAATTGAAAAAATGAAATAGGTTTTTTCTCTCTTGATAAAAAGATATTCTTTCTTTTGATTTTATTTATATAAAAAAGAAAAAAAAAGGAAATTGGCTGGAGCACAAGTTTTATGGGTTTCTTTTTAAAAACATCTACAATATTCAATAATTAAGAAAACTTATTCCAAAAAATATTGTCAGTAAGTAAATGAAAAAAAAACTATTAAATATGGAAGTGAATTAATAAATATTAAAAAAATTAAATTGGTTTGACCAATTTCTCCAAATATATCTGAAATTCTGCATCTTTAATTTATTACGTAAAAAGAGGATAAATCTGCCAAAAAAAAAAAGGGTAACTTAAAAGGATAAAAAAAAACTAAAAAAGGGCCCAACCGGGTTCGAACCGGTGACCTCTTGATCTGCAGTCAAATACTCTACCACTGAGCTATGAACCCTTACACGACCTAGAATTGAACCGGTAAATATTAATACAAAGTTTAGTATAAGGTAGATAAAGATTAAATGTTATACTTCAAAGTTTGCTCCTATCTCGGTTTAGTTTTAATTTGGTACTTATAATTTTAAAAGTTTCAATTTAATTCATATAGTCTCGATTTTGATTCAATTTCATACTCATGATTTTAATAATTTCAACTTTTAATTTAGTTGTTTCGGCTGTTAAACCCACAAATCTTCTCTAAACGATCTTTTACTCATCCAAAAAATTCATCTACTTCTTTCTATTATCTAGTCAACTCTAAACTCATATACATTTAACTAACGTAGTCTTTGGAAATATCAACTCATTATTAGATAAGGAAAATATCAATGTGGAAAATTATAAATTTGGTCTGTATAGGATGGTTATAGTTTCAATTTTGTTTCTATAATTTTAAAAATTTAAAGGTAATCTCTTATGGTTTACACTCATTTCAATCTGGTCCATATAATTTTCAACATCTAAATCGGGTCACATGTCGTTATCATGTTAGCATTGTTTGATGTGACAATTCTTTGATATTTTCTATTCCATTGGCTATATTAATGGCATGTATTTGGGTTTATGGTTGGGTAAAAAATATAAGAAGTAGGTTAGTTTACCCTAGAGTAAAATATAGTTTAGAGAAAATGTGAAATGTTTGACTAAATTATAATTAAGAAATAGTTGAATCTTTAAAAATTATAAGAATTAAATTGAAACAAAGTCTGATGAAGTATTAAGAATTAAATTGGAACTTTTAAAATCTTAAGTATCAAATCAAAAATAAAAATTTGATATTGGAAAATACATCCCTCCTTATTGGTCATGATCAATATTATTTACACCACTATTAAATGTTTGACAACTAAAAAAATAAATGCAAAGACATAATTTTTTAAAATAATAACGAATTGTCAATTTTTCATTGGTGGTCGGGTTAGAGATAGATCCTTATGAGTGATCTAAGTATTATTTTTTAATGTAGAATAGAGTTTTTTTTATAAGGGGAAAAAACTGACAAAAAATAAAAATTAAAAAAATTTATAAAAGGAAGGGCCCAATCGGGTTCGAACCGGTGACCTCTTGATCTGCAGTCAAATGCTCTACCACTGAGCTATGAACCCTTGACCAAAGATAAATTGGTAATTGGGTTAAAACGTCGATAAGAATTAAATGTTAAATTATAAGTTGGTACTTATGGTTTGGTCTGGTTTCAATTTGGTCGTTATAATTTTAAAAGTTTTCAATTTAGTTTTTTATAGTTTAAGTTTGGTTTCAATTTTATACTTATGATTTTAATAGTTTCAATTTGATCGCTATGATCGGTTAAACCTCACAAAACGTGCCTCAACATTTTAACTCGCTCGAAAGATCCACTTTTTTTTTTCACTTAACCCTAAACCTAAATATATCCAACTAACATAGTTTTAGAAAATATCAACTCATTATCCTGAAAAAAAAAATGTCAATGTGATAAATTACAAATTTTGTGGTTAAGTCCAAATCAGGTTGGAGCATAGTTTCGATTTGGTCTTTATGATTTTAGAAGTTTCAATGTAATCCCTATGGCTTGGACTTTGTTTCAATTTGGTTTTAGGTTTCGTTTGATAATTATTTTATTTTTAATTTTGTGTTTTCTAAAATTAAATTTGTAAACACTACTTTCACTCATGTATTTTCTTTTACATCCACTTCAAAAAAATAAAATTTTAAGTCAATTTTGAAAACTAAAAAAATATTTTCAAAATTTTGTTTTTGTTTCTAGGCCTAGTAGTTCGTATACATTTTGAAACAAGGTGAAAATATATTAAAGAAATTATAAGCAAACAAGCCTAATTTAAAAACAAAAAGTGAAATGGTTAAGCGACGGGGTCGTAATTTTTAAAATTTCAATTCATTCTTTAAATTAGTTATTTTTTTACCCAACGATGAACTTAAATACATGTAACTAACATAATCAACCAAATAGAAGATATTAAATAATTGTCAGGTCAAATAATGCCAATATGATAACAATATGAGATCAAATTTAGACTTTTAAAATCATGGGGACCAAATTAAAATAAGTCTAAACTATAGGGTCTAAATATAAATAATTAAATCCATAGAGGTGAATCTACAAAGTATGCCCGATTCATAAGGACTAAAATTGCAATTTCACAAAAAAATTATTAATGTGGAATAGAGTCTGTTGAAACTTTTAAAACTAAAATTTAATTTGAACTTGTAATTTAACACAAAAAAAGAAAAAAAAACTATTAATGTGGAATTGAATTAATAAATATTGAAACAATTTTTAGTTAGTTTGACCGAATTCTCAAAATTCTATCTGAAATTCCTGCGGGGACAAATTTGGGAAAAAAAACAAATAAATAAAAAGATGGAAAGAAAAGGGCCCAACCGGGTTCGAACCGGTGACCTCTTGATCTGCAGTCAAATGCTCTACCACTGAGCTATGGACCCTCCTTCGATAAAATTATTCTTATTTATTTTTATATAAAATTTCAACTACCAATTAAATTTGAATTTGATCTTTATCGTGGGAGTTTAGTTCCATTTTGCCTTATCTATTTAGTTTAGTTAAATTGTCGAATTGTTTTTACCGTTATTAATGTGACAGATATTTCTATTTACACGATAAGAAGTTGACACTTTATATTTAAAGTAAGTAAAAGTAATGTAATATATCTTTTTCTAGATTGCTAAACTTTGATGATTATATATATTTAGTTGGTTAATTTTTAAAAGTTTAAGTTATAGCGAAGTTTAAATAGCAATCGTACTTGCTTTCATCAATTTTTTACATCGGTTTAATGACTAATGTCGTAGTTTTTAAAATATTATTTATAAGAAAAAAATATTAAGTTCCATTATGACAAATTGTAAAAATTCTTAGAGTTTATAGGCTATAACTAGTCGGCCTATTTTGCTATATTTATTGATTTATTTATAACAAATTGCAAGTTTAGATGATGGATCAAGTTGAAAGTTTGAGAGTGAATTATACTAAAGTGTTGACATAAGCATAATTCAATTATTAAAACGTCTATTTATTTTTTAAGTAAGAGGCTCATCTCGCTGTCATATTTGTTATACTAAAAAAAAGACGTCTGTGTGTGATTTTCATAATTTTCTCATAAATAAAATAATAAGAGATCGTTTGTTCATAGGAATTGAAATCCAAGATTTTCATTGCATAGACATTTAGATTTCCACGTTTGTTTTACAATGTAAGATATTCGAGAATCTCAAGATATCTGAATATACTAGTGTTTTGGATGTTCTCTTAAATTACGAGTTTCCAAAATTCTCAGGTCTTTACCTTTATGCCCTACATTATTATTATTATTATTTTATATTTTTTATTTCATCAAT